GATACTTGATTCTACCCAGCAATCTCAGAATCTTAATGTAGAAATGGATGTTGATATTGGCGTTATCGATGAGAAGCTTGAATTAGCCATTTTAATTAACCAACGTCGTAGTTATGAGGCATATACTAATTAAAGAATAGAGAGAAAGGTTGTGGAATCATCCAAATCTATTTCAAATAATAAATTCAGCAGTCTTATATCATACCTTTCTTCAAATAAATCTGCTCGTTCTGGTGTTCCGTGTCAAAATCATTGGAGAATAAGAGCAAGACTTGAACGATTAAATAATAGAATAAAAAACTCATTCAGTAAATTAATTTTTATTTATTAACTTATGTATTAAATAACACTTATTATAGCTTTTTTGTTAATGAGTGTTATTGAATCAAGTAAATGAGCAATTAAAAGTAGAAACTAGGGAATTTAAGCTTCTTGTATATAATGTAATTTTTGATTCGCATATGAAAAGATAGGCAATATTAAGAATGAAAAAGAAAAAAAATCCTACCGGTAATAAAATATTATTTCAAATAAAATGACACAATACTTAAAGTACGTATTATTCTTACTTCAGTTAATGTACTAAACTTGTTCTAAGCATTAACTTCTGAGGCTGCTATTGATATAAAAATACTTTTAGTTATTTGTAAATTCTTATCTCTTTGAAGTTCAGCAGATTGTTCTTCAATTTCATTTTCTATTTCAACCTTATCATTATTTGGGAAAGCTACAGAATCATGAATTTGAGTATTTAACACCATTCCAAGAATGTTTCTAGCTAATGCGGTGGCTTGCTTATAAGATGATGAATAATTCCTTTAATATCATCATCTAAAGGCCAACTCCGCAAGACATCCAGATTTTCTACAACACTCGAATCTGAATAATGTGAAATATAACCTAAAAAATATTAATTTTTTTTTTTTTAAAAAAAAGAAAAAAAAACTAACTATATTTTTATATAATAAGAATACTAACCAATGCCTGTTGTTTTTTCTCTTTCTGACTTAAGAGAGCCTAAGAAATATGCTTTATACAAACATGCGATCTTAGGTGTTAATGCTACTAGATCATTAAATGAAAAGTCAGGAAGAAACTGACAGGCCAAGCCAAAAAAATATTTATATCCTTCCAAACCATACATCCATGGAGTAAAAGGAAATTGGGAATAAAAATTGTGGTAAGCAATTATTAGAAGAATCTAAATATAGAAAGTTGTATATTTATTAATTATTACTTATATACTGTAATAACAATTTGAATAAATATTATATTTGAGTACTATAGATTCTGAAAGACTTGTCAAAATATTAAATGTAACTGGTGCTATAAAATTCTTTTTAATGCTCATAAATTTGGGATAATCTTGTGCACAACTTTGAATATGACTTTTCCAATGATTTAAAAAGAAGAAACCTAACATAACCATTCTGTATCTTTTAAGTGGTAAAATTTTGTGATTTTGAAAAGCATCAATTAATTTACCTATACAGTAATAAAAATTACTCGTTAATTAATTGATAATGATAACAAAACTAATCGGGTTTTTTAAAGTTATTTTAACTAACTAAAAACAAATAAAAAAACAAATAATCCAGTATTGGCTTGATTTTTTTCATTAATAACTTGACTAAGAAGTAAGAAACAAAAAAGTCGATAAGCAGTACCATTATCTTGACGATTGATATTTTCTACATCTTTTTTATATAAAATACTTTCTGGATTCTTTCTTAATTCCAGAATTTGATCATATTATGCTGAATATTTTCCAAGTGATAATAAGCAAGCTCCAGAAAAAAGTGCATTGCAACAATCCTTTTTTCTATATAAGGGATCAGTAATACGAATAATAGGGCCAATATTAGGGTAAATAGGACAACTAAAATTAATATCTAAAAATAAATTTAAAATAAGCTTAGTCAGATTAATTGTATTAAATATATAAAATATAAATTTGTCTATTATAAAGATTATCTTTAAAAACCAATCTTTCTGATGTTTCTATTTGCATAAGTAAATTCTAAGAATTAAACTCAGCTGAGGCTCCATTGGCACCAAATCCAAGAATTTTAAGTTGAAGTTGGGTGGCCATATCAAGCAATTTTTTATATAGCTCAAAAATACTTGTTATAGTTTCCTTTTCTTGATTTGCAATCATTGCAATAACACATGATGGGAATTTTGGAAAAGAAATCTATAATAAATAAATAAGTATTTATAAGCTTATATATAATAATTAAACTTGTTGCATGTATAGCTAGTCGTACTCTCGTTAGTAATAACCAGAGAGCTTAAATAGGTAATCTCCTAGTTAGATTGCAGGTATGGCGGCTAGTGTAGAACCCAGACGGACTACTTAAATTAGATACCCAAAAGGTGTACGTGTGGCTAGTTGTATCCTCGTGAATCTGATGTAATATCATAACTATCCGAAATAAAGCACATGCCAATGGCCTAAGTGGTCACCTTTAATATTAAAAAAAAAAAAAAAAAAATAATTAAACTTGTTTTTATTTAATAACTATTATATACTATATACATGTAATAAGTAAACATGAACTTAAGAAGCAATAGCATTATGAGATTTGATTGTGTCTACAATTTGGTGTATATCCTCATATGTAGAAACTCTAGTTAATTCTGTTAAAAGTGTTAAACCGACAATGCAACCAAAAAGGGAAGAAAATCCAAGCCTTTCCTTAATTTTAATATTGTCTGACATTGCAATAATTGGATCAGCATACTCAATCATGTCTACAAGTCTTTTAACTTGTATTATATTTTCAAAACATAACTCAGAATCATGAAGAGCATAAGATGAATGTATACGATGTAATCTTAAAAAAAGTTTAAATAATTTTTAATAATAAAATAAAAATATTAAACAAAAATAAGTTATATATACCTAATATTTTGAATAGCACATCCAGCTAAGTTTTGTCAAAAAATACTATATGCTCGTGAACTAAGACTTGCAAGTATAACCAAGAAATCAGAAAATTAATTTGAATACTTGAGATTTTGAAGTTCTTTTTTATGCTGTTCTCGATGAACCATTACATTACATAGACCTTCAAATATTTTTTGATTATTAAAACTACCATTCCTGCCCATCTCTGCAAACTTTGTCCAAAAAGAGTTGTTATTGTTTGTACTAATATTGTTTGCTAAATATAAAAGATCGCCAAAATCCTGATTATATATATATTTAGCAATCGGATTGCTTCGAAGTTGAATCTTTGGCATAAACTTTTTTTTAGAATTTGGCGTGTCTTATTTTGATACAGCATTCTATATATATAGTTATATATATTATAAATTTAATTTTCATTAATGTTAAAGCTTACTAATTATAATATTAAAAATTATACTGTTTATACTTTAAAAACTTGGTCATCTTGAACTTCTTTACAATAATTACATAAATGAGAAGAATTTGTAGTATATTGCTCGCATGAAACAGATCGTACTACTAGACCTTCAATTTTCCACTTAGATTGTTGAATTATTTCTTTATCCAATAATTGCAAATCATTTTTTGAAAGTTTCTTATATATTACAGCCTTATCTAGAAGAAATTTTTTTGGAAAAAGTTCTTGGGCAACAACTTCTCTTCTTGGTGCTCCACCATGAGTAGTATGGGTAAATACTTGATTAATATAAGCTTTGTAAATTGGGCTGTCTAATCCAGTACAAGCATATCGTTTTGTAGTAGGTTAATTATCTTTTAAAGTTAGTGAAAAAAAATTCAAAATTGAAACGACACCATCTTGGAACTTGCAACCACTACTATTAATATGATTTAAAAAATAAACTTCATCATAAGCTCATTTAAGTTTAATAACTTTTTCACATTTACATGTTATTTCCAAACCACAATTAGATATATGAACTATCATTGGATTTTTTAATAAGCGTTCTTTTGTATACTTAACCATTTTTGAAATTTTTAGAAACATGTACACATAGATACTATCTAATTAGTATTTAATTTAACTATTTTTTAAATATAACCTTACACAAATTTAATAATTTTATCCACTTTTATTAATACAACTTCAACGAATATTATCTAGTTTTAAATGTAACCTTTAAACAAATAACCGGTTTTCAAATGTAACATTTTTGTAAAAAAGTACTATTTTTAACCAAAATTCCAATGTAACCTCTATATATATTATTTGGGGTCCTATTTTTGATAGACAGTTTGATTTTTCCTTCTCAAAAATTTATTTAGGTGGTTATGATATATTACAGTGTAACATGATAATCGCTAAATACGTATGTACTGAAATAATGAATGTCTTTTACATCTCTGATTTAAGACAGTTATAATTAATTTATTTTTTATTATTACTTTAATTTATGGTCGTACTAATTAGATATCATTATTTAGACCTCACATTTATATACGTTTTTAGTATACTTATCGAAATTACTAAGAGGAATTTTTTTAAATAGATGATTGTTCAATATTTAGATTTTAGGTTGGTTATTAATTCTTTATTAACAATATTTTTATTAATATTTTTATTAAAACGATGTAAATAATTTTTTTATTAAATTAATTTAGACTATAAGGTACATATATGATGGTAATAAAGAAATGAGAATATCAATGATTATATAAAAAATTTTAACTAAAAATTTTTATCACAACTAGTTTATAATAGCCAAAAAGCTAATTTTCCATTCCTTCGCGATTTCCAAGTCTTTTGCTGCTTTTTTGAATTAAGTACTTTAGTATATGTATTGGTTTCAGCAACAAGAGGCTGCTTAAGGGTTTTGTATGTTTCATAAAGCTTGTCATTTTTGATATTATCATTAATAATTTTAATTAACATTTCAAATATTTTTGAATCTGAGGCCAATTCAGCTTTTCTACTCTCAATAATGGCATAGCACTCAAAAATAAGAGTGATTGCGCTATGACTGTTTGATGCTTCTGGCTCAGTTCAGGATTCTAAAACATTACTCTGTAAAGCACCATCTTGTAAAATATTACCCTGTAAAACATTATTCCATGGGTTATTATTTAAATTAATTCTTGGGATGTTTAATTTTCCAAAAGCAATAAATGGATAATCATAGCGACACATTGTAAAACGAAACTTTGAAAAAAAGGATGGGTTTTCTGTAGAATATTTTTGCACTAAATGTTTATATATAAAGTAGATACTGAAGAGGAAAGCAGGGCAAGAGCAAGTCTAATTATTTATATCAGTATAGTAATGATCACTTGTACTTATACTCTTTTCCATATCAGATTTCCACTCATTCTTAAATGCATTCCACCAAGATAGAAAGTCTCGATTATAACAAAATCTTCGCCAAGTATTTTCCATATTAGGAATTAGTTCTTTAGTAAGAATTTGTATAAGATGATCCAGACGTGGCCGATTACAATTACTGTATATTTATAGTTATATTTAAGAACATGCCAATGTGACTCCATAATCATAGTTGTTTTAGCGATTGGTATCGCTTTTGGATAAGCCGCTTGTGCAAATAGATTCCAATCCTTTAAGTTATACCAATTTACCTACAAATATCCTCATAAGTTATTAAGATTTCTTTGAAAACAGAATTGATAAATTTCAAAGATGCTTTAAAATCTAATTTTTTCTTTGGTAAGAAAAAGGTTTTGTTCTATAGAAATAAGTGGGTACATTAATGCATATTTTTTAATTATTTCTAATAATTCTCTTATTAATTCTTCAGAACATATTTTACCCTTTTGCTCTACAGGCAACCAATGTGGATTAATGAAATTGAATTCTGTATATGCATTATATGCTTTTTGCATTGTATACTAACTTTTCTTGGTCTTTTTTTCTTTTAGCTTATGTTTAATTGCATGTTCTACATGCCAAAGACAAAGCTGAATTATTGCTTTGGGCCAAGCTTTCTGAACAGCATTAATTTCTCCAGAATCTTTGTCAAGAAAAACAAATACTGGTAGAACACCTTCATCATGCAAGCTAATAAAAAATTCTGTAAGAGCACCAACACGAGAATATACAATATTGCTAAAATCCGAATGCTGCTCTTCTGATACTACATATGTGTTTAAGTATAAATATGCAAGAGGGACACCATACCCATCACAATTTATATTTACTGCAAAGAGTTCAAACTTTTCTTAATTTGTTTTAAATGTTGAATCAATAACAATTTCACTGATATTTTTATTTTTTATAATTCGAAGAAATAGAGTAACAAATCTGAATAAACGTACGAAGTCATTATCTTGATAACAAATAACTTTATACCCTGCATTTATCAACTTACTTTGTTCAATTAAAGACCTTAATTGATTTTCTACATTAGTAATATACAACTTTGTTGAAAATTTATGCATCTAGTAATATACTTGTCAGTAAGTGTGTAGTGATAGATTAATTAAATTTTCATCGCAGAGTCATTAATAAATTTCTATTTTTCGCAATCTTGGATTTAGATATTGATGCATATATTCTATAGCATTTTTAGGCAGATTTGTTTCTCTATATGTAGGATGTTTGTGGGCTATCAGATGCTAAAAAGTTATCCTAGCCTTCTGCTCATACAAATCAATCTTAACTACTATATTACCCTTACATAGATAACGTTCAATGGTGAGCACTTCCCTAACATGCTTTATAGACTAGCCATCTTGATGTTTATGCTGACGCTCAATCCTTTGAGTGCATTCTAAATGAGCTATTGTACATCCTGTAGGCTAGTTATTCTTCTTATTTATATATAAATTATGAAGCTCCCAATAATATTTTGATTCTGCTTAAAAAGGTAAGAGTAATGTGTTAATAACTTCATGAAACTCTGTATCGTCATTTTGATCAATTTCTAGAGATATTATTTCTTCATTAACTAATTCTCTTTCAAGTTTTACTATTACAGAGAAGTTGACTAGTTCATCTTTTTCTTCACTATCTCTAAATTTGATATTAATAAGCTCTTCAATATCATATACATTGTAAAAAAGTTCATCACTGCTATTTTCGACGCTATCTGCGTCTACATCATCTTTGCTTAAGAGTAACGGTTGAATATTTTTATCTAAGAGCTATAGTTGAATATTTTTATTTAAAAGAAGTGGTTGAGTACTTTCATTATTAGCTAATTTAGCTTTTTTATTTAATCTATATCTTCGATCTCTCTCGGCACAGGCATTGCATGAAATGTTAACTGTCATTCTACTTCCAATCATCCTCGTGAATTCAGCAATTGGTTTAAGATTTTCACAGCGAGAGCAGATTTCAGTTGTACTGTCAATAGTAACATCGGTAGCTTCATTTGGGGTCAATATTTTTGCTTATTTTTTTTCAGTATTAAGGTGACCTCTATAACCGGGGGCTTTTTATTAGATAATTAACAGTGTTTACAATTATAATGAGGGTACAACTAGCCATATGTACAACTTTTGGTTGTCTATTTTAAGTAGTCTGCCTGGGTTCTACACTAGCCGCCATACCTGCAATCTAACTAGGAGATTACCTATTTAAGCTCTCT